TAATTTTGGTAATACCTATCTAGAGCTGATTTCAAAGTTGATTTTTCATTAGCCTGGGTGACCTCCGATGGAAGGTTATTTCAATCATAGGCCTACCCTAGCCTAGTAGGCCTAGGAGGAGGGCCTTTAGCTAAGTTTGTTGACTCTAGATACAGCCAAGCTAGCATCCTCATTCTCTATCTAGGCTAGTCTACTACTCTAGGCCTAAAACCTAGTCCTCCCTATGACATGGCCAGGCCTGTAGGCTCCTATCTCCTATAATATGCCTAGCTAGCGTTAGCCTAGCTAGGGCCCCCTAGGCCTAGCTAGTAGGGCCGCCTACCTAGGCCTAGCCTAGGCCTCCTACTGTATACCGGCTAGGCCTAATGTTGACACTGTGTGACAACGTTGGTAAGCGATTTCATTAAAAATTTAGTCGTGCCTAATTACAGATTAAAGCTACCTGAAAAATTAATTTAAACTTACAAGTAAAGAAATTGCAATAGCTAAGATAATTGCAACATACACCAGCTGTACCACGTCGACTGCCATTGTTGTTATCTGATCTATGACCTCAGCCAGCTAGGTCACTACCCCATGTACATGTGTGATTAAGATTTTTATAGCGCCATCTATTGGTGTAATAGTAGCTCAAAATTAAAAAACCTTTTTTTTTTTTTTTTTTTTTTTTTACAGTAGAAGCCCTATTAAGGGGACAGACACATTCGGGACTAAAAAAAGTGTCCTCTTAATAAGGGTGTCACCTGAATAAGGAACCCTATTCATGGGACACTAACTAAAAACATGCAATTGTTCCTTTAACATGGGATTATGTCCTGTTTTAATTTATTTTTATTTTTATTGACATAAGAATCAGTTACAGTATAATTAGAACCTCAGTGCACCCTCCAATTCAAGACGCCTCTAATAGACCTTTCCGGAGTGTCAATCAAACTTAACAACTGACTAATCAGAACAGCGCTAGGAATGCGCGCGCGTCTTACAAACACACGTGTTGTCCCACAAACGCACGTGTTCGCGTGTTCGCGTATGTTTTACCCATAGAGCTATTAAACAACTAGAGTGCTGACAAGATGGCGCAGCAATGCAGAGTTATGTAAGTGTACCATCCAAGATGGCCGTCGTAGTAAAGCGCCACCTTCAGGCTTGGTATACATATTATTACATATTAATAAGCCCTCTGACTGACTATTATTTCATTAATCATAATGAGTAATGGTAATAACAAATTATTAAACTATTGTAGCCAAAACGAGGCCAAGTGAAGCATCTTATTCAAAAATAAAGTACCAAGGAATGAAAATTAAAATCGTATACATTACACCCAAACACCGCAACGCTCGAGTTTCAAACATACAGTAACTAGCTGTACTGAACTTTCTGAGTAAATTGAGGGCGCATTTGCAAACGATCACGCTTAGCGAAATTTGATTGGCTAAATCTATGGTAGCCATCTTGGATGGTACACACACAAAGTTCTGCGTATTTCGAACATCAAATACATTGCGGTTAGCGCTCTAGTATTCTTATTATACCTCTATGGTTTTAACACTGCTGTCTTTGTGGGACCTAAGCAACAATATCCAAGGGGCGGAGCTTAGCGGAAAGGTCCATTCCAGACCCCATTTTCTAACAACCAAATAACAATCTTTTTAAATTGGAGGGCAAACTGTAATATATAGCAATAATTTGGAATGCAAATACAATTCATTTATAATATGAAATTCAAAGAAAATGTAATTAAAACAATAATAGTTTTACAATATGTTCCCAATATTATTTCATGATGCAATTTTAATAAACAATTGTTTTTTTTTTAAATATTGAGCTTTCTATTGGATGGAAGCATGAAAAAAAAGGAAAAGAAATCCCTGTAGTTAAGAGTCAAAATTGACAAGATCGGTGTATACGAAGTAACACATACGGTAGGCCCAAGGTAATTCAACAAAAGGACGCACATCTCCGCTCTCGAACATAGCGCGTGCGTACAGTCCTTTGATCTTTACTGTGGCATCGACAATCCGATACTAGTTGCGAGTACAGCCGTCAATTATTAGTCTATGCGTGCCATTCGTTTTATGGTGTTAGTTTTTAATTTATTAATTTTGGGTACTTCGCAATGTCTGTTACAATTGATTTTTTTTTACCTCGAGCTTGTTAAATGCTTCTATAAACTGCAATTTGATTTGTGAAAATTGACCAAGAAAATGAAAAGTTATAGCAATTCAAAATTTACGAATTTTATAAAATTTCATGTTCTTATGTAACATTAATCTGTCATTTTGACAATGTTGGCATAATGTGCCGAGGACGAACATTTGAGTATATACGGAGCATTTATTAATTTTTTCTGCGAAGTGAGTCTCATGAACGACAATTCACCACAATTTTGGTAAAATTAATGTTGAAATGAAGAATATATTTCAGTCTAATGTTAGTGCAAAATATCATTAGGCCTTTGTAATCACCGCACGACGCGCGACTAACATGGCAACTAACACGCGCGTGGGTAAATCTTCACGTACGCTGACGGTTTATGGTCTAGTTGCTATGGTTTTTGTGACGTTCAGCGTGTAGGGACGCACGTGCGCCTAGAATGTCGATGCCAGAGTTATAACCTTTGATGTTCCGAGATGTGCGTCCTTTTGTTGAATTACCTTGGTAGGCCTATACCGATGTTCACTCTACGGATTCAGTTGAGAAAATTCTGGTTTATTGCTTAAAAGGTGTCAAAATATAAAGTTGAGTGATTTTTTTCTTATTTTCAGACTACTCTAGTTATTGTAATACAATGATATTAATGATATAAAAATTAAGTGTCCTCTATTATAGTAAGGGGTTATTTGACCATCTGGCACACTCAGAAAGTGTCCCCGTCCCTTTGGCCTAATAGGAGTGGCTATAGTGTTAAAAAGATATATTTCTCCTCGTTTCACGGAAAAGTATCCCCTTGATAGATGTTTCACCTGAATATGGGTGTCCGAAAGAAGATTTCTACTAGTAACAAATAAACACTCAATGTTCTCAACCTTCTAAGACTAGACATAATTGCACTCATAACATATTTATTCGAATTAATATTTATATATAGAGGGTTTTGAAGGTTTATAAAGACTTTTCGATTTCGATATTGCTTTTGCCTCTAAAAGCTACTTTAATATTTATTGAATAAACACAAACGTTCGTTTATAGTATTTTTTTTCATATGCTACCAATTTCAATACCATATTAGTACAGTTAACAGCTCATCAGTGTTTTTTTTTATTCTAGTATAACTCAAATACACATCCTCTCATTGAGTAGACACTCATGGAACGTATTGAAAATGTGGAGTGTTGCTTAAGTCCAACGATTACTGGGCGAAGAGAAATAGCCTCCAAATAGTAGGCCTATCATGATGGAAAATACAGTATCGTTCTACACTGAGGTTATATTTGTGTAGGCCGGGGGTTACTCGAATAAAACAAAAATATACAAGGAGTACCGGTAATCCATAATTATCATCGGTTTGGCGCAGCAGTTCGTTTTCTGAAACTTGAATAAGGTCGGAGGCCGTTCAATTCCTCGCAGTGTGTTTTGGACAGTGTGTCCTTCGACAAAACTTTACCTACCGGACTATCACTCTCCACCCAGACACATGGGCGTCGATCGGTGGGGGACAGGGGGACACGTCCCCCTCCCCACTTTTCAAAGTAGGGGGACATCATATCGATTGCCCCCCCCCCCACTTTTCACCAATCTTCTGTAATTAAAACCCCACTTTTAGAAGCGAATGGAAAGAATAACGATTACGCATTACTGTCATGAAATTTGTCCGTTCACTTTTACAAGTGCGGCACGTTCCGGACCAAAAACTGAGTAAAAACGTAATTGTTTAAAGGCCTAAATTTCGTAACCACATCAGAACCATAGGTCGATTTTATGGGTGCAGCGGTTATCAGAGGCTAATTTTATTTTGAAAACAACGTACTGAAATTGTTAAAATTGGAAGCGTGTATACTTATATAGGCCAATATTTTTACAAACTCAAAAGTGTACAATTTATACTATAAACGATTTATTCCTTTTGTATATATGACCCGTACGTATATACTAGTGTTTAATATTATCTACATACATAGGATTACTGTTTTTCCTAATTTCAAAAAATTATAGTTAGTCAATTGAATTTTATATAGCCATTATTAAACAATACCGTAATTATACAGCCTTTGACACGGACATGTCTATCTATTTCGATTTTTAGTGATACCAAAAGTTTACAAACTCCAGTGTTACGTTGACGCAATCTTGCAATGACGTCATAATAATCAGTGGCGGATTTAAGTGGGCCGAGCCGACCCTAAATTTTTCAAAATTATTTTTTTTTAAATGGAATAAAAACAAAGAAAAATTATAATTAGAATTTAGGTCTGAGAGTGCCATTTCCGACAATCTAGAGGTGTCATAATCATAAATTTTCTTTCCTCAGCTCCAACCATGGTGGAGCCGGCTGAAGTGATCTAGTTTCCCAATTTGTGCCAGTTCCTCACTGCCCCACCCCCTATATTTTGCTTTCCTGGAGCCGCCACTTATAATGATAAATTAAGTTAATCACCGTTATGTTTGTGAAATCAAAATGCTAACTAATGTTTTGTTGCTCCTTATCTCCCTAGTATTATTTGATCGTAAATTAGACGGTATTATTTCCACTCACAATAGCGTAGTCGCAATATTACTTGCACAAAAGTGAAATTCAAAAAGAGGAGAAAAGTAAAAACCTCTTGATTGATTTTAAAGGTGCTGTACATGCGAAAAGACTAAATAAATTACTGTTTTAGGTTTATCTTATTTGTTTTTTCATGGTTCGAATTTTGAATACGTCACAAGCTAATCAGTAGATAATAAATAATTATTTTTATGAATGTTAGTTTGCACGAGATACATAATTATGACTAAAAGGATAATTTAAAAAACTTTTTATGATGAGTATTTTAGTGGCAGATTCAAGGGGCCAGCCGACACACCATCTCCCCTTTTTTTAATTTAAAAGTGGAGAAAGATAAAAATTATATTCAAATGCAGTCTGAGAGTGCCATTTCCGACCAACTAGAGGTGCCATAATCATACAATTTTTTTTAATTAGGATTTTAAGCCCGGCTAGACATCCTTTTCCACCTTTCTTTAGCTTAAATATGCCTATATATAGGCCTATCTCATTAACCTTTCCTCAGGCTTTCGTCAAACACACATTTTGTGTCTTAGAAAAGTCAGGATCAGAAAGTTTATAAGATGTGTTCTGTCGAAATTCTTTAAAAATGTTTCGCAATCAGAATATTTGGAGGACGTGGCCCCCTTATCGAGCTGCTGTAGGTGCACACGTGCTTGCTAGTCCGTCGCAGCCTTGACCAGTCAACGACTCGCTTAGAAGTACAATAATTTCTCCTAAGAGAATAGGATTCTGCTAATCGCTGACACAGGAATATGGGAGGAATTATAACATGGATTATTTTTCATATTTCGCGAAAAAACAATATATTATCACATTACTAAAAGTCTAAAAAAAAAATCCGTGTTTGTTCCCATTATGTTCTATTTCGACGCCCACGCAGCCTACATTCGGTTCGACACAATGCACTGTACCTTGATTATTACACAGAATAATCTTTGAATTTACCAAACCATACCAAAAAGAATAATACGAATTATTATACATATTATTCATTTTGGAATAATAATAATAATAATAATAATAATAATAATAATAATAATAATAATAATAATAATAATAATAATAATAATAATAATAATACGAATTACGATCAATCAAAATACATAAAAAGTTCCAGCTCATATATAATTACCGTAGCCTATATATTAAAGTTGATCAAAAAACACAAAACACCCCTAACATTTTAGACAACAAAAATAGGCCTGGATCTTTCTGAAAATTGTTATTGCGTGAGTGTTACGCCAAGATCGGCAATATTACCAGTAGGCCTAAAATATAGGTTCACACTAAACGCAATCAAACGCGTTTGACTCACAAACTCAATACTCTTTTAAGTGTGAACCACTTAAACTTAGAACTAGCTTAATAATATAACATCATTTAGATTTTAAGATATGTTGTTATACGACAGATATATTAGCTATGGTTTCGACAGTGGTGATTGCATCTGATTTCACCCACTCTGGAAACGAATGAACGTCAAACATTGCACTTCCAAGTGTATTCATGTTGATGTTCGCTACCACGATACATATGACGTTCAAAATAGCCCCCGCTTTCACCTGGAAAATGTAGAAAATTAACAAAAGCAAAACATTAATTTCAACAAAAAACAAGTTCTCGAAATCTCGAAAAGGCTACGATGAGGGCAGTATAATAAAAGCAGTAGATCTAAAAAAGATCGATTAATCAATCAACTATTAATCAATCAGCCGAGTGTTTCAGCTCCTCGTGAGGGCAGTATAATAGAGGCAGTAGAACTAAAAAAGATCTATTAATCAATCAACTATTAATTAATTAGCCTCCTGAGGGCAGTATAATAGAGGTAGTAGAACTAAAAAAGATCTATTAATCAATCAACTATTAATAAATTAGCCTCCTGAGGGCAGTATAATAGAGGTAGTAGTAACTAAAAAAGATCTATTAATCAATCAACTATTAATCAATCAGCCTCATGAGGGCAGCATAATAGAGGCAGAAGATCTAAAAAAGATATATTAATATATATATATATATTAATTATTATATTATATTAGTGTTTCTGGATCTTCTCATTAGAGCTAAAAATTGTATAGCAGAACTTTGACGGACGGGGATATACCGTACTGAAAGTCGTATTTTGAGGCCCGGTGTACATTTATATGACTATCGATAAGCTGAAGAAGAATTATGCAAATTGTTTTGAATCTTTATTCTTGACTGTGGGTAGTATAATGAAACTTGATTGGTTCAATCGTTTTTAATGTTTCAAATAATTAATTTTAAAATAGAACTAGAGCAGTCATGGGCCGACCAGCTATGAAACTTTGCGTCGTCATATTTTAAAAATGTCATTAATGTTCAAATGGAGTCTTGAACGGGCACTTTGAGCTGAGGGTTTGGCCCTCCTCCCCCAGTTCCCCCCCCCCCTTACCAAGAAGCTCATGTGTGCCATAGATAATTATTATGTGAACTCATCGGAATATCCTCTCAAATATCTTACCATATCCATAACAGTCAACGATCCGTAAGAGAATGCAATCGCGTTTGGTGCCGTGGCTACTGGCAGCATAAATGCAAAAGAACAAGCGATGGCTGCGGTCAATACAAAGTACAAGGGGTTGACACCGATTCCAATGGCCTGCAAATATAGGAACAGTAATTAAACTCCTATATGAGAAAAATATTTTAAAATACCATCGAGTGTCCAATGTAAATGAAGATGACCACGTATTGGGACACCAAGTGGCGAATACATGAATTTCTTCGCTAGGGGTGCGAGTGGCAATTGAGGGGACCTATGGGGTTCAGGTGTTCCCTTATCTATTTTGAGTGTATCCCTGAAGGCTCCGGAGTTTTATTTCACACTTGGCGGGGTAGGGGAGGGTGCACCTATTTTGCCATCTGTTGGGTCCACCACATCCTCGGTGGCGAAACGAAAAAGGAAACGAGAATTGAAGAATCTCATCAACTAAGCATTAATCATCCAAATTACATTGTCAGTATTTTATGAATCGTAAGTTCTTCTACAATATTTTTATATTCTTGAAATATCATACATTATTCTCCGTCGACGGTTTGTTTATACTGCAACCCACGTTTACGATTACCTTCTAATGTGTAGGCCTACTGCATTATAACAATTCGCTAGATTAAGTCTGGTTTCCATAGAATCGCTACACAGTCACTACATCGTTTTCGCTGCAATCCTTGCATTGCGTAGCTGTCCCCGACGCAATCGGGAAACGCTCCCAGATTTAACTGACCAAGCAGCGCCGCCAAAGGAGTCGGCGTAGCGTGTAGCGATTTTTATGGAAACAGACTTTAAAGATGTACTGTCCTTGAAAATTACCAAAATCATAAAAAATAATTTTTTAAATGAACTTGCTCATTTTGCAGTAACATACAAATTATAACTGGATAATTATAATAAAGATAATAAAACACTTCCAGTGACTGGAAGTGTTTTTATCATTTTTTCGCTGTAAAATGATGGTTTTTGTGGGTAAGCGTTTTTTAAATACACTAATTTCTATGTTCAAGTTGATAATTTGTATGTTACTTCAAAATGGGCAAGTAAATTTCAAAAATGATTTTTATGGTTTGTTTTTGTTTTTTGCTAGGGACAGTACATCTTTAAGCAAAATATAAAAGAATAAAAGTCCACAACAACAAAGTCCCATTCATGATGTGCCTATAAAATTATGGTCAGGGTGTGATGTCATCATGACCATATTTAGACATTTCACATGCTTTGCCAAAAAAATTTAATACTCTGGACATGGCTTAGCATTCCAATCTTGCAATATGACGTCACATTGAAGCAATTATTTACCTAATTACTGTATCCACATTTATATTTACTTTCTCGATATGTAACTTTGTATGACGTTCATGACAACATTCAACACTCTACTGTAATAATTTGTGTATTTTATGAAGTCGGGCACTCACTGCATCGTACGACGGTTGTACGACCGTCGGCCGACGAATCCAACTTCGCTCCGTGTGAGCGCTAGACGACGTGGCGCCGTCTGCTGATTGTCGGCGACAGTTAAACGAATCGAATCGGTATTAAAAACGATCCGTTGCGCACGTCGTGGTTTGTTGCGTTCTTCATAGAATCGCGTCGGCCGACCGGGTGGCCGACGATCGACCGGGTGGCCGACGACCGCCGGGCGCAGTGAGTGCTGGGCTTAACAATCAAAAAGTTTACATACCAATTCCGCCATGAGTGGAAGGAATATGTTGGCAGTTGAGGTATTGCTGGTGAATTCAGTAATGAACGCGATGAGAATTGTGATTAAGAAAAGAATAACTGCTGGGGGAATCTGATCAAGACCAGATAATTGGACCCCGATCCACTTTGACAACCCAGACTCCTGTAACAAAAATAACATGAAAAGTCCTTTGAAAACGATCATAATGTGGGCAGTGGCGACTGCAGCGTACGGTAAGTCCGAGGGATTTCCCCCAGTGGACAAGCATTATACTGTACTTTTTTGTCGTCCGCCGCCAAGACGAGGTCGTTGAGCCAAAACGTATTAGTTTGCCGGCCCGAACAAAGTTATTATAATTGCAAATTAGTTTAAAAGCACACTTTTACACCTAACAATAAAATCCCTCCCCATCAATCCCGCCAGAGGTTTATTCTGGGACTCTGTTTTGCTCTTGGTTGAAACCCCTCACCCCGCCTCCCAACACCCGAACTTTTTGAAGTTATTGGATCCCCTATCGGTATATTTGCCATTGATGGGAGCTGATAGAGCATCGGTTGCGTTGCGCTCTCTCAACATAAGTGATGTCGGCAGGCATAGCCGCATAACATTGCGGTGCATTTGAGGATTAAAGTTTAGATTTACGTGAATGATGTTCACAATCTAATGGAAAAGTTGCACCAAAAATGACCGGAACCATCATTTCAACATTTGACCCTAAATATGGGTTATCCATATCTCGATAACCACTAATCGTAGAAATGAAATGATGATGGTGGTGGTGATGGTGAGTGATGATAATGGCGAAAGTGATGATAATGACAATAAAATCGACAAAGATAAGAATATTAATATACATTTTGGTAGGCTTTGAATTACTTGAACAGAATTCACAACATTAGTAAGCCATTCCAAAACCAAGGGTAGGGCCTACTTATCAACCTGAACTTAGGAGGAATTCAGAAGAAAAAAAACTGCGGGAAATGCTGCCTCCCTGTTGAGTGTAGCATATATTAATTTTCCACAATAGAGTGGAGGTGCTAATAATGATAATTACAACAATAATACGATAACAATATCAATATAAGATCAAGTTAAAAACAAGCTTTGGTTAGAAATTATAATTCAACATGAATAAAAGCCATTCCAAGACCAATGTTACTTGTCAACCCGAACTTACGAGGAATTCGGAAAAAAACTAGGAGTAATGTTTTGTGTAGCATTTATGTTAATTTTACACGAGATTGATTGAAAGGAGTTGGGTAAAGGTTTTAATGAGGGCTATTGAGTCTTGTCGGGGCAGACATGAAATCAAGACTTGAAATTGAGCAAATAGCACGACTTTTTTCGAGGACCTCATAAACCCCAGTAGGCCTATTCGTCTAGCCCCTAAAGAGTCAGCTGCTAAATATAGACCACTGAAGATGTTATAATGATCAACTCGGCCGGGCGGTCGCCCTCATAAAATATAAGGTTAGCATGTAGGCCTCGGCTTAATATTCGATGATAATGTGATATCCACACGTTAAGGTCAAGGGTTAATCAGTCGGGGGGTCGGGTAATACTTAAACTTTATTTAAACAATTTAAATTAGGAGTATACAGGTCTTCTCAGTAATTGGAAAATCATATTATAATTGTGAGTGGCTGATTGTACCGTATAGTCTGCGAATTGTCAAGTATATTCAGGTAGTAGTTACAACTGCATTTAATTGGTAATACTGTATTGTATTTTGAATATTAAAGCCCCATTCCCGGCAAAATTTCAATTTTTAAGAAAAATCTGATTTTTGTATAATGTTATAAAGATTTATAAATATAATACGGAATTGCTAGTTTAACTGAATTTAGACATTCCTAAGAATGAAAAAAATGTAAAATAAGACTGAAATTTGATTTTTTGTGTTCCACACAAAAAATAAATGCGGATGAATTTTTCATGTTCTTTTTGCGATAGGTCGTGAGAAGAAATATCGTAGGCGCCGAAAACATTAGCCTATCCAACGCTGCTGGCTAGGCCTAGCCTTACCTCGATTTTAGGTTCTGTTATCACACATAAAAACGGCCGACATGATATTTTCCGTTGCTAGATTGACACTTGTGAAATATAATATTTCATAGGAATTATTTCAAATTTGTTAAAAAACTGATTCTGACTGAGATTTTGACACTTAAACAAACATATCTCAGCCTAACCGAACGACCGCATTGTGCGAGATGCGAAGTACAAAAAGTAATCTCATTAGAGAGGGTGCACTTTATTGACGGTATGGGTGAAGAAGAGGAGCGGACTCTGACCGCAAGAAAATCTAACAGTGAAATCATTTTGAGTCCCTTAACCCTCTCTCGGACTTAATTGATGAAATTGATAATAGGAAGTTTGGCAAAATCGCAAATTACTACAAAAAATAAATAAATAAATAAAATTAGCTTTTCCAATATGTCCGTCCATGGTCAGGCGTGCGCGCGTACAACTGTCTCTTATACACATAGGTAGTAGTTACAACTGTATTTAATTGGTAATACTGTATTGTATTTTGAATATTAAAATGAAATTTATTCCGATATTATGAATCCGATTATCCGATAAAGTGAATCCGATTGGTGGGTGTGCAATGAGTAAATTAGAAAAATTAAGTGACTTATGATGAATAGGATCATGAATTGATGACTTAAAACTAGAGCAGCCACTCCATAAAGTGTATAATGGCCGAAAATGCAGCATCCTCCTCGTGGGCCGCAATGTGTGCTTGGCTTAAACGTCACAGTCAACTGCTTAAAAGAATATACATATAAATATAATTTTAGATATACGCGTACCGCATATAATAAAGTAAGACCGTATTAATAATGCGTGGGTGGGAAGAACAGTAGGTGTAGCTAAGATTTGGAAAAACGGAAATTCTCCGCCCAAGATCGGACATTGGCTACTCCTACTCAAGTGAACTTGCACGCAGATACGCCTTGGCCTTGTTATCGTTAAAGTGACGTCATAATTAAATAGTACTGCTCGAATTAAAAACCTACACAACCTCGGCCACACGTAAAGCACGTAAAGTTGAATGTACGAGTTAAAGTTCCAAGCTCTGGCTTACCGTAAAATATTTTTTTATAAATTCTTAAAACCTCAAAAGCCTCATATTAGATTGCTAAGTAGTTTATAATATCATTTCACTTTAATTCGCCATTAAATATCCGATTTTCCAGATTAAGATTAATTTTGACCGAGAAATAGAATGCAGTACCTTGCAAGCCTCCGCCATTGCGAATCCTCCGCCCAGCAGAATTATTACATTCCATGCCATCTTCTGATGTACGGCAGCCCATGTCAAGATGGATCCGCAATCCGAATTAGAAGAGGATTCTATAAAACGACACAAAAATCGACATATAGTAATTGAATGGTATCGATTATTCACGTGTATTACAAAATAGTCCCTAAAGGGCGCTTTTGTGAGGGATAATTAAGTCGCTAAAATACTTTACATGGGACGCTGAAATAAGACAAAAAGTCGGGGCACATCGTCGACCGACAGTCTTCGACACAATATTCCATAAAGTCAGGCGCTCAGTGCGCCCGACGGCAATTTGAGGCGAAGCTTTAATTCGTCGACCGACGGTCGTACGATGTACTGAGTGTCCTGCTTTAAGCCACAACGTAACAACGATGGGCGCGCGACCTATCTTTCACAACGACGATCCGTTTACAACCGATAATCAGTAGACGGCATTGCGTCGTCAATAGAGAGCGGAGATAGAATCGTGGGCCGCAATGTGTGCTTGGCTTAAACGTCACAGTCAACTGCTTAAAAGAATATACATATAAATAATAAATATAAACATTATTAAACACAACTCCCATGTATATTGTCTCATACAAAATACAAAAAGAAAGAAAGAAAAAGAAAAAAAAATCATAAAAATCATTTTAAAATCAACTTGCTCATTTCCGAAGTAGCATACAATTGATCATCTTTAACGTAGAAATTAATGTATTTAAACAATGTTTACCCACAATTTTACAGCGAAACATTATAGAAACACTAACAGCACTTGTATTATTTTTATTATCATTATTCAGTATAAAAATCAGGATACACATTTTTTTATTCAATAATGTTTATGCTCAAGTTAATAATTTGTATTTACTACAAAATGAGCAAGCTAGTTTCGAAATTATTTTTTTATGATTTTGTTTTCGTTTCCAAGAGAAATGCATATTTAAGCACTTAAAAAATAAATGAAGCAATAAAAACAAGCAAAAAATAAGCAAAACATTGAAACATGGAGCTGGCAATTCGTGCTTTTTGAAAATAAAAAGGTTTATCCTAAAATTTCTCCTAAAGTTGTAAAAAACAGCTGGCATGTTGATGCAATAATTTATGGACCAGGTCATTTTACCAGAACACCTGAACATTCTAATACAAAGCGACCTTTATTATCTTTTAATGTCAGGTTCATGCTATTTTTACATATCTTAGACATTCCTTGCTGAATTAAGCCTATTGCCCTTAAGGGTTATATATTGATCAATGTGCGATTTAGGTTCAGTAGAACAGAAAAAACACGCAATTTGAAATTTTGACAAAATAAAACACACCCAGCGGCAAATCACTCTCTGAGGACGATTATTCTGAGAATGGATGAAATATTTGAGGACATGTAAGTTGCCAACTGTAAAACGAAAGCAGCTGTTTTCTTAAAAATGTGAAAAAATGTTCGATTAAAAAACAATGATAGCTCATTTAAAACAACATTCGAAGTCGTCTAGTAAATTTAGAAATATAAGCGGTAGGGCTACTAATAATGATTAATAGCAGGGGCGGATCCAGGATTTAAAATAGGGGGGTTGAAAATGTTTCCAAAAAAAAACCCAAAATGAAAGGAGGGTCGGGGGTCCTCACCCGGGAAAATTTTGATTCCTAGTTGGCCGGAAACCAGCTTTCCCGACTTCTGAGGAGTCTTTTAATGACCTTTAGTTAATTCTTCAAAATTCAAAGTTTTCCCACTCTTGAAAAAAGGTCAGGTAATTTTATCTCATTCTTTAGGCCTATCATACAGGGAAAAAAATCGAAGACAGACAATATATTATTATATTCCAACAACATTGAGTAGTTAGATATGTAGTCTTTCTTCCATGGATCGATGAACCGATAGGCATGAAGAACACGCTTTCGTACATAAATTATTAAGATGGCGAACCAAAAACAGTGTATATAATTTATTTAATTGAAAAACTAGTTGGGCTAGGCCTAGTTTGTCTAATCTTCCAACCTATGCCTAGTTAGGTTAGCATGCCTTTTGTAAGCCGGACCAAGTTGTATTTTGTTACGTTTTTTCACAGATGGGGGTTCGTCCAAACCCATTGAACCGTAGTTCGGTAGACCTATCATAGGTTACCGGTATATCATCGTAAATAAACGTTTGTAAAGAAATACTTGTCTCACCATTGTGTTATATTTTAACACTGTATCTTTTTTTATTTAAAATTTCTCATAGTGTTTCTCTCGATTAATCGCCGCGGCGCTTATTCTAGAGCGGCGCTTAACGAAAAAAAAAATAACGTTTGGTGCGGCGTTTATTCGAGAGCGGCGCTTATTCGAGCATTTACGGTAGTTTTATATAGCGCCGCGTTCATCAAATAAGATGCTCAGGGCGCTTGATTATGTGGACTAGGAACTCGATCAATGACTTCTTCGCCCCACTACAGGGGCTGTCTGTACCAGTACACCGGGATATCCCCTACCCGTCTCGAATGATGTGCTGGATTCTTTATTATGCAAATTAAAATGTTTTTGTTTATTTTATTTATTTATACTTTAACCTGGGTAACCTGGAGCATTGTTATCCACCAGGTTCCAGCAACACATACAATAAAATACAATCAAATGACAAAGCTCAAGAGAAAAGTACAAAGACAATCGATATTATCGTGATTAATTGATCGATCGGTTGAACTATTTATCGATTGATTGACCGATCGACCTATTAATCGATCGTTCGACCGATCGATTCATCGATCGATAGAATTATTGAGTGACTATCCGATTAACTGATTCAATGAATGATTGATATCGATAGATAATGATAATTTTCAAATTTACCGTCTGCTGGATTGCGGCAAGTCCACGTCGGTGCTTCAAGCGGGAACATGAACAGGCTAATGGCGATGAACATCGCACAAGTGGAATCCGTAACATACCTTCAAGTACGATAACATTACATAATAATTGAATTTAAAATAAGAAAAATTAATTAAAATTAAACAAAATTCAATTTGGTTAGATTGCTCCTCTTAATTGACCTTTCCAGAGTGCCAATCAAACCGAACAGCTGACCAATGAGATTAATTCTAGAAATACACGCGTGTCTAACAAGCACACGTGTACTTGTCCTACAAACGCACGTGTATAGGTACATTTTACGCTATCTTCTTGTCCTACAAACGCACGTGTATAGGTACATTTTACGCTATCTTTTTGTGGGATCTTAAGGGCAACTCAGACAGCGTCGGCCAACGCAGCCCGACCCGATTTATCGTCGGGGACAGTCTTAAGCCGTCGTGAGAAATATTAAACATGTTTAATATTCTACTACGCGACTACCCCCGACACCATCGCGTCTGCTTTGAACTCACACAGACCCGACGCGACAACAAATCGCGTCGGGCTGCGTCGGCCGACGCTGTCTGAGTTGGCCTTTAGCAACAATATCCCAGGGGTGGGGCTTAGCGGAAGGCCCATTACGATTAAGTTTAAAATCTATATTATTGGCTGGGTCCTACTGGACCCAGCCAATGGAAGAAAGATAGAAAGAAAAAAAGATATCCGTTTTGTATTGTTACGAAAGAATAATGATTTTGAAGAAATTTTACAAGAAAATTTACATATAATTATATAATGTCTTGGTAAGATCGCATCTCTATTGGGTTTGAAAGACACACATATTATACACAAAGATACTTTGATAATACCAAAAATCAATTAAAAAAATGTTGGTTTTTTTTAAATTTCTTATTTAATTTTTTTCCTACTTGTTTGCTGCACAAACTAGGTTATCGCTGTTTATGGGTGAAGGTCCAGAAAAACATGAGAGATTATAAAATAAATATAGGTCAACTTACTTATCTTTAAACAAAACTGACCAACCAGAAATGAATTTAGGATCACGTGTTAACCATAAAAGCATGAGAACAACAAAGTGGGCCAGAACTGCTTTCTCTGCGAAACTGGAAAAAATATATTAAAAGATAAAGCTTCATGTGTGTTTGTAAACAAACCATCAGCAGTGGCTTATCTAGAAGTCTTG